AGGAGATGGCGTAGTAGCATCGTATTACTTGTAGTGTTGCTCCTATTCGTGCTATACAGAATCTATGCGATGATTTGTTTGTTATGTAGATATTCTCGAAGCGGTTTTATCGCGTTAGTGTTTCTATAGTCTAGTGTGTATCAGTCAATCTTACTATTCGTTGTATATCAATAGTCCATCTCGTTGGCTAGCGTAGACAGTGCTATTTATTCCATCATAGGGTGTACCATATTAACATCAAGGGTAACCCTGGGATGGGGTATCGTAGTCAATGGCTGGCATATTCAAGTCGGGGCTGCTTAGGGCCTATTGGGAGTCCGCGTGGCACAGTGGCGGGCAGCGAGCGCTGGCGTAAGTCCCGGCGACCCTCACGCCGACACTGACGCCGCTCCTAAGCAGGATGACCCCGATGCTCTTTCGCTTATGCGAGGAGCGCAAGGCGTCCGTGCCGCGCGACATGCGTGCATCGGACTGGGGTCAACGTTGTGGGGAAACCCACGTTGGCCTTAGATCGAGACTGCTCTCGCGCTCGCCGCTAGCCTGGTCGGCCGCGTGCTGGTCGTAGGCTTACAAGTTATGTTCGAACGTGCAGTTCAATTTACAGGGCGTCACGCCATTGCGACGCACCTGCCGATATCACGTGGGACCTGTCTCTCATCCACGTCGACTTGAGTGGCACAGGCCGCCGTGGGCGGCCGTGATACGTCGAGCCGAGTGTTAACTCTGCGCAGGGGCGATAAAGGTTATGCGACGGTGCTCTCTGATAGGGTACTAGTAGGGTCTCCATGAGTCACGCTGCACCCTTTTCACGGGCTCATGTTGGCATAGTACGCCATGTGCATATTGTCTGTGCCGCTGTATAATGCGTATATATACTACATCTACACAGTACCCCTTCTTTACTATCCTATTTTCTACGTTCCACATGCGCCGATTCTTCCTCGTTTAGCCTGGCCAGCATCGCGTAGTACCTCACTCGTTTATTAACCGTAGGACAGCTGAGGGCCACACAGCTACCCACGGACCAACATACATTCATTTTAGTTAGTTTTTAGATTGGGGTACGCAGCACTACCTCCTGCCAATAAACAAATGTCGCAAACTCAATGTCCAGAAAAACCGATCTAACTAAAGCAGTTACGGACGTGGGACTTGGAAGAGGTAAGATCCCGGCGTCTGTACTCCAGCCATTAGTGCGCAAAGTAGCGCAGTCGCTGCAGGTACTTGTCTTACGCCAAGCTACATTCAGTCATTCTTAGCGCTAAGCCGGCAGCGCGCGCACACTTTGGAGAAAAGAGCCAAGTGTTTTCAGACGTGGTTAAAGGTCTAGCGATAAAGGCGGGAAAAGAATGCGGATGCCGAACAGCCTTGATTCAGTCTCGCGTAATGACGCTTGTAGCGACAGCTGATTCAGTGAATATCGTCTCTTAGCGTACGTTTAAATGAAATTAAAACGCTTATTGACACCAATCAGCTTACGGTCGCTTCAGATGAACACGCAGAGTGTGCCCGAACGTACTCAAGACATCAACTCGCGACCATTCGTCGACGCCGTCTACAGCGAGTTATGTCTTCGTCCTATATGTTACTGCCCCAGCGTACTACTGATGCGCCTGGCCCGTCATCGTACTACGCGCAAACATCATTCCGTAGTACACCAGACCCCCTTGTACTT